TCTTCCACAGAATCCACAAAATATTCATGAGGATTCATCGGATAATATTTTCATGTACTGTAAATGAAAATTTTTAGCATCTTGAATTGATAAAAGATAAGTCTCGTCTGAAAATAGACCACGACATGTTTTTTTTATTCAATGTCTGGAAAATAATGTGACAGTTCATACTTTGAATTTCTCGACTACGGTCTGAGCCTTTTCCTGGAAAGCTACGTGTTGTATTTTTCTCGGAATACAGCATTTGGCATGCATTTTTTGTTGATGTACAACTAATGGAAACAATCATGTTTTTGCATTTTTAATGTGTAGTTTTCAGTATACTCTAAATCCTGACTCTTGAGGTAAGACGAAGGAACGCCGGAAATTGCCCTTGCCTTGACAAAGAACCAACAGTTTTTGAACCTAAGAATTTTCCAAATCAACGTTTTCGAAATGAAATTTCTCGCTAAATGCCTGCTATTAAAAAGAAAAAAGTCTGACCTCTTGAAGATCTCAGAACGTCTACAGTACGAAGCAGCAAATGCAGTTACTGCTAAGTGGATTTCCTTATCTACATTTGTTCGTTTGTTTTGCCATGTTACTTGCTGATTTGTGTTCTTGCTCTTTTGTGCACTTGATGCGTTTTTCATGTAAGTTCCCCTTTCGTGAGCTACTGTTTGGTCGTGTAATTGGACAGGGCACATCGATCAATTAAAAATCCTCACTACTACACAACAGCCGGAGTTTCGCGGAAGTTGTTCTCCGAATCACGCATGGGGAAACGTTGGATCAAGTTCGCTGGGTTCTTTTAGGGGGGGGGGGGGCTTTTCGGGGGGGGAAATGTTGGGCCGTTACGTCGGCAACGTCCGGACAGAGGGAGGCTCGCCCAGGCCTGCGCCCGGGCCGCTACCCTCCCCAGCCCGGGAGTACAAAATGTTTTTTTTATTTTATTTTGCCCAGCACCCGGACCTGACGTTTGGGTGAGGCCCGTGGACCTCAGTTCGGTTCCCGCCAGGGCAAAGCGTCAATCGTGCGGAGGTTGTTCCTCTTGCTCCGGCCGATTGTTTTCTTTCATTTGAAGCTCGGTGAAGTGAATTTGAGTCATGTACCGATTTTGTTCCAATTAAATAATTTTATATTATCCCAAACTCGTAGTGCCGTGCCGTGTTTTGTTTCAACCAACTGAGGAAGGTTCGTCTTTTTTATTGTCGTTTTTATTCGATGGTGGTATTTTTGACGTTCGCTTGCAGAAGGTGACTCTTTACATTTGCTCAGTCAGGTGTTCAGGGGATTTGGTAAAGTATGAAGACAAAAATAAGGCCTATAACAAGCCTAGAAATGTTTTATTTTTACAGCGAACCGATCAGTCAGAAATGAAAAGCCATAAATCTTGAAGATGAATCCCTCAAATAAGAGAAGAAATACCTATCTTATCAGCGATTTGACTTCATCAATTTATCAGTGAGAAATGAAAAACCGAACCTCACCTTCAAGATGAATTCCTCAAATAAGAGAAGTAGATATAAGCCGATTTGATTTGATATCCACCGTTTCAAGCATACTTGATTTTACTGTACATATGTCGTTCCCCTGTGATGAACAGCAGTGCGTGTGTTGTTAAAAATTATTTGGGTGGAGAAAATAATAAATACAGTATCTCACTTTATGACATGAAAAATTAAAACCGTCCGACGAATTTTGGTTGTTTTGTAGAGTTATTTTTGGTGCATTTCGGTGCTCAGTTCTTAAAAATTTTGCCACACTCTCTCAACCACCATCATACTCCTCAGACCAAAAAAAAAAAATTTCAAGTTATTATACGATATTGTTGGAAACCATTTACCATATACTCAATAGGACCCAGAGATATGCTTCTCGTGGACAAAAATTGACGCAGAAAAATCCTGTATTTACAGTTTTTTTGAGGACTTAAAAACGGGGTGAATGGTTTCAATGAAGGACGGCGTATATCTATGAAGACTAAATTATTTGACAGTGATCCACAGTGAAATATCGTTACAACAAAGCATTTGGGAACTGGAAAACACATTCGTTATAATGAACAAAGTTTTATAATGAGTCTCGATTAACATTGTGACTATATACAGGAGGGACTTCGAAAATGAATTCTTTTCAAATAATACATTCTTGCACAGAAATTTCACTACCGCAGTTGCATAAGGGCCTTCTGAAGTTCGAGCTTGCCCATTTTTTTTTTGAGAAAAAAAGTTGCATCACCAAGAATAATGGAACGTAAAGTTGCATGTAGGAATTTCAGACTTGGCTTTTAGTCCAGTGAGCATAGCTTCCACGAAGCAAAGAGGAAAGAGGCTAATATAAGGGAGGGGATTACAGGGAGACCCCGAGAGAACAGAACCCCGTGACATGCATTACCGGAAGTTCTTTCGCATGAAGAGGGTTCCAGGCTTCCAGCCGCGTTCAGAGAAAACATCCCTGGTCTAATACGAAGCCTTGGATGTAGGCAATTTTATGGGGATAGAGAACCAGAACTTTGGGGAGTGTGTTACTGTGGTTGAAACAGGTGTTCGTCGAATGATTTTACGCATGCAAAACTGAGAAGCGTGTGTGTGTGTGTCTCAGGGCTCCTTGTTCGAACCGAAGAATTACATCGGCATCAGGTCACCAGATGTCATGCCATTCTTCAGAGAATCGCAACGCGCGCACGTTAAAGCGCCTCTGGGTTCCATCGGAGGGGCGAACCCGGACTGCGTGGGGCACCAACACTTCGATGTAGGTGCGGGCAGTAAATGCTGTAGTCGGCAGATCTGCTCCAGAGTTCCTCCCCAACTAACTCCATGTTTTTCCCCCCTTATTCGTGCTCTCTCCCAGCCATAAATTCCGTTTCATGTCGTATGTCTTCTGTCCCCTGTTCCTCTTCCTTATCGTTAACTTGCTGCGCCACGCGGTGCATTTCCAGCTTCTCGCAGAATTATTTCAAAGATGATCAGAGGATTACGTGCGTTGCGCGAATATCTCAGAAGTGGGCGTCGCAGCAATTGGGTATTCAATAAGCTCAATATTGCGATGTATTCCGAAGAAGGTCGAAAGAACTTTCTAGACTGCCGATTTTCTCGCTACATTCTAAAATTATGATCAGAAACAAGGTTTGGCTCTGCAGATTTTCTCAGGGTGTCGCTTGCATTTTTCCGCCATTGAAGTACCGTGTGATGACTTGAGATGGTCGTAATTACCAAATGGTAATGATGTGTAATTTATTTGACCAATGTGGCAGAAATAAATTCATTCATCTACATTTAGAAACAAGGCTTTTGAAGTCACTGTTCACAACAAAAGCTTGTGCATCTGTGAGATAAGAATCTGGCATGAAGGTTTTCCAGATTCTTATCACCAAAGAAAAGTTAGGTTTAGGAAAGTAAGAATATCTCAAGATCTGTTAATTGGGTCAATTTTTATATAAGAAAAGTTGGAAAACATCTTTAGCTTCAATTTAAGTAGTTGTGAAATTTCTAAGTGTAAAATTTGCGGAGTTATTTGCTTTGGAAGTTTGTGCGTTGGGAATTGCGCCATAGGCAAAGCATCTTCTCTTTGCTGATTTTATTTATTTTTGAAAGTGAGCTTTTATTGCACAAAGCAAGATTGTATTTGCTGATTGTGTGCGTGATTGTTGTCTTCATGAAACCTGTGATCAGAGACAATAATAAAGTCCTCTTTTAACATTCAAGGAGTGAGGATGCTCCAGCTTCTCTTATTTTCTGCAGCCATAATGTAGTTTTGTACTTTTAAAATTGAATTCCCTTGGAGGCTGGGTAACTGCCTCAGCACTCACATGTCTCTTGCATCTGGGATGTTTTTAATGCAGCTTAAAATCTGCAACAGACCACAGTTCCATTTTTTTGGTTTACTCAAGTTTTAATGATGGGAGTTTGAAGTTACTCTTGAACTGTGAAGAAATACGATCCATGTCACTGGCATAATGAAACGGACTGTTCGAATGTTCAGAAAAAAATTCTTGACTATACTGCAAAATTTCCTCAATCAGTTTTTCCGCGCGTGAAGATGCTCGAAAGAAGGAATTTCCAAGCAATGCTGGAAGGGAATTTTAAATTCCAGGTTAAATTTATAAGCGAGAAGCTTCTAAAAGACAAGTTTTCTAAATCAAAATCGCAAGCGAATAAAATCCTTTGGAAATTAACGCCTTTCCCATCTTCCCATGTGAAGGACTTGTGTAAAAAAAAAAAAAGTCTGGGCACGAAGAAAATTTGAGCCATTCCTTGTAATTTCTGAGTGGAAATTATGAATTTTAGGATTTTTCGGCAATTACTCACTTCCTGTGGATTTTCTTCGATAATTTTTCGAGAAAAATGCTCAACTTTATCTTTTACTACTGCTGCCGTTGACACACTTCATGTATTTAAGTTCAGATTTTTGTTCTGAATGACTTGGATCCGATTTCCGCAAGAGCTTGATTTTGAGAATAAATTTTTTTTTTACCTTTAGAAATGATCAAACTCAGTTTCTTGTACGCGTTCCTTTATCCTATCAATTTTCGACAATATTTTTTTTGAATGCACTTTCGAACTTGGATGCCATTTCTGGAAATGATGCACATGACACGTAGACGAAATTAAATTAATCGAACAGAGAGTAATTCAATATTGCATCTGCAGATCTTGGCAAACCGTCATTTCTGTTCAGGACGTCTGCTAATGAGGCAAACGCCCACGCAAATGAGGCAACCCTATGCTGAAAAAAAGATTAATAATAAGAACATCAACAACAAACGGGCCCCCAAGCATATTAATTTAGAACCGGAATGTGTCATTTTTATGAAAATGGTATACAGATGCAGTGGTAAGAAATTACGTGAAGCCCGTCCAACAACTCGAGCGATGTTGATTGCAACGGCGGAAGAGCTGCTCCGCCCTGCATTCATGACTAGCACTTTTTCGTATTTCATTAGTATTACTGTCATTCCCCGCGTATGCATTGCCGCGTCTGTAACGGTCGTGAAAAGATAATGAGCTTTCTAGATGAAAATGACTGACGTGACGCGTCAACGCTCGGGTTTCATTAAGGCTGTCGTCATGTTCGCGTGTTTGCTCTTCGTAACCGCGCGAGCTTCGCTTATTAGTCGGCAGTATCACGAAGAAATGGCCACTGTTTCAGTACGTCGTGAGATAAAATTGTCAAGTTTCTTTATTATTCCAGAATGGAACAGAATGTGAGTGTCGGACTCGAGCAAAGTTGGCCCGACACTTCGGGAACTGCGCAGCGGGCGAGTGCGTCGCATCCGGCAAGCTCCGCCGACGAGCTGGTTTCCTACTAACTCATCAGTTCATCGCTGTTTTGATTGGAGTAAGTACACTACGTTAATTTTTGATTGTATTATTCTGATCATAAATTTGATGACGTGTTGAAAGAAAGAGACCGAGTACGAGCTTATCTAGTAACGCTTATCCTGATTAAACTCGTCTCAGCGCCTGAAAGTGGTCGACCGCCGTCAATGACAGCGCTTCGAACGCTTTGTTAATGCTTTGAGATGTTTCACCGATCGGTACTATTTAATAATTATGTCAAACTGAATACAAATCAAAATAACTTGTCCCTTAAACCAATCTTTGTATGCTGTAAGCGTAACGGGGGTCCCTCTGAAATAATAAACACCACATTGAAAAAATTCATAAGTACGGTAAATAAATTTGAAATATTCGGAAGTTATGTTAACATTTTCGAGTTTATTTTTGCCTGCCAATTACTTCAGTTCAGTTTCGAGTGATTATGTCTAGCAGTTCAAAATGAAACATAAGGTCCAGGTTTATTGGAGGAAGCACTAAAAATCTTCAACTTAATCTCGTGTGAATATTACGAGGACTTGAATCGTGAATTAGTCTATCTATTCCGAACAGTATAGAGGGGTGACTTTTATGTCTCGATTGAATTGCTCCATCAGTGCTTTGAATAAAAAAAAGTATCAATGGAATCCTCTCTGGTCTACTTAGTGTTCCGGAATGCATTGTGAGCACTGCTCTAAAGCTGACATGAATGAACCATAGCAGTGCATAAGAACATTACTTATGGGGTAAAAAAAAAAGTTCTCTGCTTTTGGAAGTACCGTAAACTTTTGATTCCTGTTTCTTGCCGAATTTTTTGACGCCAAGTATCGAAAAAAGTTTATAAAATTTCTTCTGTGAAATGAACCATAATAAAATATTTTCAGTCGTGGTCCAACTTAGAACAATTTTAAACTCTCACAGAAGATTTTTTGGCATTTAGATCAGTAGAAATCTGAAAGTGGATTCTCCAAAGCACCTCATAAAGAACACACGAGAAAAAACAGGTGTATTTTGGACGATGTAAGTACGAAAAGGGTTCTACTCTCTTCTCAGTCCAGAGACTATCTGAACCTTTTCGGCTTGCAGAACGTACTGTATTTTCAAATATTGTACTGTACATGTACAGCACCCTTTTTTTCTGGATTTAAACACTCTGAAGCAGGACGGGTGGTTCTCATACCACACCTGGATGACGAAGTGATACAATCTCAATTCAAGTCTCTGGTCATTCCCTGAGCTTTTTCCTTCAAAATTTTATTCCGAGAAGAACAGATTCTAAAACTCTCATCGGATTGGAATTTTTGGAGATTTTTGCATCCACCTGCGGCCTGAGTGGAAATCGGCAGCTGTAGATTAATTTTAAGTCCTAGATTCACCAGAATTTCTGGAAGATTTGTGGCAAATTGTGTCCAGCCTCTTTAACCCTTCGGCGGTGTTGCTGGGATATTTTTGCAGGAATTCCTCGCTCAACATTTTTAAATGTAAAAAATATCGCGCTGGCAAATATAGCCTGAGTTGGGAAATGTCTGTAATTTCTTTCAATCTTTGAAAACAAGTTTTGGGGTGTCTCCTGGACTTTTAGGAGACACCTTGTTTTAGGAGAGAAAATTTTTCTCTCCTAGCTTATCCAAATACAGTACTTCTAGGCTTAGGCCACTCTGCCCTGGTGCCATTTTGGTGACCTTTGGTCAAACTGAAATACACTTGCCTGCAAAAAATAAAAATAAAAATACCATGCAATGGAACAGAACCTTCCACTGCTGAATGGTTAATCAGCTCCAAATGGACTGCCTTGAGTTGTCCTCGATGCCTGAGGAATTTTCATACCTGCATGTTCATCAAGTACCTCTGTATACCATATTTACTCAAGTACCACACGCATCTCAAAACTAAAAGAAAAAGGGAGGCGTGCATTCTGGGCAGGTATACATTTTTTCCAAGTTTTAGAAGTTTAGGTGGGCTATATTTCATTTTAATTGGGAAAATTTGGACCAATTTTAACGGATCAAATATGTAATACAGTAGAAATAATTGCAAATAAGTTGAATTCAGGTTAAATTCATGTGTAATTTAAATTTAGGTGCTTGAGTTTTGAAATATTCTATTGAAATTTCGCTCACTAAAAATAGGGTGGACATCTTACTCAGAGATACATTTTTATGAATGAAAAAAACATATTTGACTGAAAAACCCTGATGCGCCTCTTGCTCAAGAGCGCGTGGTACTCGAGTAAATACGGTGTATCCTATTGTATATTGTGGCACTGCTGTTTGAGAAGCTCTAGCTTAGCTGAACCGCTGATTGCCGTTCAACAGGTTCCGAGGAAGCATGTGGACCACTTGGAGTCGCGCCTAATGCCGTTGGTGCAACCGAAGGCGGTCGTTGCAACGTGCGCGGAGTTGCAGAAACAACCGCCCGCAACCTCCTGTTCCCGGTTGTCTTCGAATACATCCCTAACGGGCTCGAAGCCTTCAAAGACGTCTGCAAGCGGGTCGGTGGGTGGCCACCCAACACCGCGCAGACACATCCAGAACCCTCACAATTCCTCCCCGGCCACATCCCGGCGCAATTCTTCCGTCTCCGCGCAGGAGCAGAAGTCCCGCGCCACGCCGAGTCCCAGCAAGGCTAAACCTGGGAGTGCAGGCATTGCTCGCAAGGCATCCGGTGCCCGGGCCCCGTCCTATTCCCCGTCACCCATGGCCGCCAATGCCACCAAGTCCCCGGCGCACTTCTACACCGTCGAAGTCGGGGACACCAAGTTCACCATCCTGAAGCGGTACCAGAACCTGAAGCCAATCGGGTCTGGTGCTCAGGGGATCGTTTGGTTGGTGCCATTTTATAAATTCTAGTCTGTATACAGTACTCGTATATACAGTAGCTTAATCATTAATCCCCTTAATCATTAATCGAATCGTCGTAGAACCTGACGCTTAGCTGCATGCCTCGATAATTGTTGATTCACTAAGATATTCGAAAGTTTTGCTTGAAATTAAGTTATTTTTCAAACAGAAAGGATTGAGAATCATACATGCAAACATGTGTGGGATCAATTTGCAATATTTGAATCCCAATCAAATAACCCGATGTTTATTCGGTGAGTCTTTTAAAAAAATTAAATTTCTGACGTTTAGAACTTTTTAAAATCTCATTCGATTGGAACTTTTCGGGAACTTTCGCATACAGCATCACGAATAAACCAACATTTGAAACGAAGGAAAATTTAATTCCAATATGAGCAGGGTTATTGGATCTGTGA